GATTTTGCGAAAGAAATTCAGCATTGAGGAAACATGGAGCATTGGACAAATCAAGCTCCATACATAGTTTAACTCCGTTTCTTGATGACAGAGGAATACTTAGAGTCGGTGGCAGGTTGGAAGAGGCAACCTTAGCATACGACACAAAACACCCGATGTTGTTACCATACAACGATCCAATTGTGAAACTCATTCTTAGCATGATCCATTTAGAGAATAGCCACTGTGGCTCACAACTATTACTGGCAACATCAAGACAAAAATATTGGATAATCAAGGGGAAGGCTATGGCTCGCAACATTGTGCAAAATTGCGTAAGGTGCACCCGGGCGAAGCCAAAGTTATACAACCAAATCATGGGAAATCTCCCACCGAGCAGAGTCACACCAGCAAGGCCGTTTATTGTCTCCGGCGTTGACTATTGCGGACCGTTATGGGTCCACTACAAAATACGAGGCAAGAGACCACACAAGGTTTACATTGCTGTCTTTGTCTGCTTCGCAACAAAGGCTGTACATTTGGAAGTAGTTACAGACCTAACAACGGAAGCATTCATTGGAGCATTGAAGAGATTTATCTCTCGGCGAGGAAAATGTCAAACCCTATATTCAGACAACGCGACTAACTTTGTAGGTGCTAAAAATCAGCTCGATGAATTCAATAAGGCTGTCTTTGGGGAGAAAGGCAAAAAAATAATAGCGGAGACGTGTTCAAGAGAAGGGATCGATTTCCAGTTTATTCCCCCAAGAGCACCACATTTTGGTGGCTTATGGGAAGCCGCGGTGAAGTCAGCCAAGCAACTGTTGCTTCGCACCACTAATAGTGCATCATTAACCCACGAAGAGTTGGAAACAGTTGTTATTGAAATAGAAGCAATCCTGAATTCCAGACCGTTGACTCCTATTTCTGACGATCCAAATGATCTAGCTGCATTAACACCTGGTCATTTTCTTGTGGGAGAACCGTTAACGGCACAGGTTGACCCATCAGCGAACCAATGGTCAACATCATTGACAAGCAGATGGAAGGTCGTATCTCAAATTAGGCATGAGTTCTGGAAACGTTGGTCCACGGAGTACTTAAATACTCTGCAAGAAAGAAGGAAATGGAGTACACCATCTCCAAACGTGGAACCTGGTCAATTGGTCATTATTAAGGAAGACAAAAAATGTTTATTAATATTTAATTAAAGCAGATATACACAACACTTAAATTGTGTAACCTTGGTATGTTTACAATTTCTTGTAATCTACCTCCAACACCTTCGATACAGAGAGATGTTTGAATGGGTTCGATACCCAACCTCTGCACTAGTCGCTCTGACACCAGATTAATTTGTGAACCGGAATACCATCGCCCCCAATGGATATCTTTGTATGTTCGTATCTGCTAGCCTTTTCAGACATCTTGTAGCAAGATATGGGGCACACGTCGTACCATATGTTAACGTATTCAACATGTAATGTTCGAGTTCCTTGTCTGGAGTGTTTCTCCATACGATTAGTTGATATTTGCGATCTCTTTTGTCGACTAGCACTTGTCTGTACATCTTTTCAATGTCTGTTGTAAACACAAATCTCGACATTTTTTGGTGACCCCGACGTGATCCTGACAAGGATTACTTGATTCACTCATAAATTTCGAATTTCCCCCCACCAGTGGTAAGGAATTTGAAATATTTATTTGTGAAAGGAGCTAGTTACGTACAACTAGTAGCACCATCTAAGAGCCAGAAACATCTGGAGAAGAAGCCAGTACCTACATCAAGAATCTGAATCAACTGATAGCTAATCACCGTAAGGCGGATACAGTATGGATCTAGCTACAGTAATCGAGCAACAACAAGCAGCAATTGCCGAGTTGAGGAAGGCAATTGCGAACGTAAAAAAGGCTCCATTGGAAAGAAGAACGGTGGAGTTCTACAGCAAAAAGCTCAAGGAAATGGAAGCACTCTGGGCAGAGATCGATCGCAATGAAAACAAAATTCGTGCAGATCCTGCGGCAGAGTCACATCTCCATATCACCAATAACGAATACCAAGTCATTGGTGAAGAGTACAGAGCTGCAATCGACAACATCGAGGCAGACATCAAAAGGGGCAAAGAACAAATGCCTCAGAAACCGCTTCCCGCAACAAGGGAGGGGGTGCAAAAACAATCAGGCCAGTTTACTGCAACCAGCAGCGTGACTGCATTAGTGAGACGTCAGAGGGCTCTAATGCAGTCCATACAAACGTTAATAAGGGGCAATTCAGGCCAAGCTGCTCCCTGTCAGACAGTGGCTGCAATTGAAAAACTGTGGACACACGTGGAAGATATCCACTTCAAAATGTTCGAGGACTTTGATGACCCAACGTTGGTGGGGTACGATGCATCAGCCTACGTTCTCTTAGAGGAAGAGACGTTAAAGTTCAAAGAAAAAATATCGACGCTAACACAGGTCGATCATTCGTCGTCTCAGCAGAGATCAGGCGGAAACTTGGCAAATCAAGTTAATCTGCCAAAAATTACAATCCCTCAATTTAATGGGGATTATTCGAAGTGGCAGACGTTTGCTGACATTTTTGGGAAAATGATCAACGAGCAAGCCTTGCCACAAGTGCAAAAAATGTGGTATCTCAAGGCCAACGTGACAATCGACTGCTCATACAACACATGAGTAGTCTTGTCCATCCTCTTTGTTAGGATGTGGATTAAGAGTGGATCCCATTCCTTTGGCCTTACTCCAAGACCCTCCAATGCCAATAACGATTCATGAAGACTATCATGAAAGTCCTTCACTGATCTGCTATCGCCAGACATGTTGGGCAGGTTTAGCATTCTCTCAAGTATAGTTGACACTTGAGCTCTCTTGTTATTGTACCTGTCTTGGAGTGTCTTCCAGGCAATGTCGTAATTCGCCTCGGTCAACTCGAGGTGCCTTATGAGTTTCTCGGCTTCCCCAGTCACGTTGGCCTTGAGATACCACATTTTTTGCACTTGTGGCAAGGCTTGCTCGTTGATCATTTTCCCAAAAATGTCAGCAAACGTCTGCCACTTCGAATAATCCCCATTAAATTGAGGGATTGTAATTTTTGGCAGATTAACTTGATTTGCCAAGTTTCCGCCTGATCTCTGCTGAGACGACGAATGATCGACCTGTGTTAGCGTCGATATTTTTTCTTTGAACTTTAACGTCTCTTCCTCTAAGAGAACGTAGGCTGATGCATCGTACCCCACCAACGTTGGGTCATCAAAGTCCTCGAACATTTTGAAGTGGATATCTTCCACGTGTGTCCACAGTTTTTCAATTGCAGCCACTGTCTGACAGGGAGCAGCTTGGCCTGAATTGCCCCTTATTAACGTTTGTATGGACTGCATTAGAGCCCTCTGACGTCTCACTAATGCAGTCACGCTGCTGGTTGCAGTAAACTGGCCTGATTGTTTTTGCACCCCCTCCCTTGTTGCGGGAAGCGGTTTCTGAGGCATTTGTTCTTTGCCCCTTTTGATGTCTGCCTCGATGTTGTCGATTGCAGCTCTGTACTCTTCACCAATGACTTGGTATTCGTTATTGGTGATATGGAGATGTGACTCTGCCGCAGGATCTGCACGAATTTTGTTTTCATTGCGATCGATCTCTGCCCAGAGTGCTTCCATTTCCTTGAGCTTTTTGCTGTAGAACTCCACCGTTCTTCTTTCCAATGGAGCCTTTTTTACGTTCGCAATTGCCTTCCTCAACTCGGCAATTGCTGCTTGTTGTTGCTCGATTACTGTAGCTAGATCCATACTGTATCCGCCTTACGGTGATTAGCTATCAGTTGATTCAGATTCTTGATGTAGGTACTGGCTTCTTCTCCAGATGTTTCTGGCTCTTAGATGGTGCTACTAGTTGTACGTAACTAGCTCCTTTCACAAATAAATATTTCAAATTCCTTACCACTGGTGGGGGGAAATTCGAAATTTATGAGTGAATCAAGTAATCCTTGTCAGGATCACGTCGGGGTCACCAAAAAATGTTTATTAATATTAATTAAAGCAGATATACACAACACTTGAATTGTGTAACCTTGGTATGTTTACAATTTCTTGTAATCTACCAAGAATATTTATTTTTGCTTTCTATTTATACATTTTTGAATTCATTAAAACTAGCATTTAAAGTTAACTAAGCAATAAATTACTTCAGCCAATAACCCATGCAATGTGAAACCAATCGAGGTGTTTCTTTATTTAGGCTATTGGCCTGCATAAGGCAAACAATAATTATATAGGTCAGTTATATGCTGACATAGAATAAAATAATAATAAAAACAAAATTAAAAAATGTGTTAGTAAAATATGTTCTTTTGAACAGTTATTATTATTATTATTATTATTATTATTATTATTATTATTATTATTATTATTATTATTATTATTATTATTATTATTATTATTATTATTATTATTATTATTATTATTATTATTATTATTATTATTAGTATTATTATTATTATTATTATTATTATTATTATTATTATTATTATTATTATTATTATTATATTTGGAATTTGTGAATTGATCTTTTTCATTTAGATAGCCAACATTTTCTTCAAACCACCGCTATCTAAAACGTCAAATAGCTGATGTAAAAAACCTACTTAATTTAGAAAAGTTGGTCAAAAAGCACAAATAAAAGCAACTACCGACTCTAAGCTTTTTTTAATTGAGTAGTTTTTGGATTATTTTTTTATACTTTTCTCAAGTTTTGGTGAAATTGGTCCAAAATGATATTTTTCTAGTAATCGGCACCGACTACAGGCAAATCTCTCCATTTAAGACCTTTAAGAGAGCTTCTCTCTGTCAGAAAACAGTATATTTTCTATAGAAAGTTTATAAGAGGTCTTATGTTCCTAAGAGACCTATAATAAGTATTCTATAAAGATTGTATAAAAGACCTCATGCAACTCTTCGCCGTATAGAAGACTTGTATTTCTAAAAAAAATTCCATCTTTATGTATCTAACCCTTTTCTCACATTTAGGACAACCAACAATACCAAGAGGATAAACATAAAATCCGTGGCTACAATGAAGTAATTGAGAAACCTCAGAAATACCAAAAGAACAACAACCTCAACAATGGTAAGTCAAAGCTACATATTTCTCTGCCCTACTCCCAAAAATGTCAGCCCATCTTCCATAAACTATCAACACCGTTTTAAGGAATTTCCCACTCTTCTTCATCTCGTTCTTCAGGTTATCCCTCCAAATCGCCTGAATGCAAGCCTCAACAATTGACCGCCATTGGCAATCGCCTGCTCGATTGGTTCTCTGTCATTATGGCCGATAGCAAGAAACGTCGTCAACATAGTCAAAAATCCAAAGCTCACTTCCCTCCCGCCTGCAAGACCGAAGCCAAATGGATGTTCGGTCATTTGGATTTGAACAACGATGGCTATTTGTCGCTTCAGGAAATGTACGATCTGGAACATGATCAAAACGAGCGATGCATTAAGCCGTTCATCGATACCTGCGATTTGGATCAGGATAATTCAATAAATACACGCGAATGGTGTCGTTGCTTCGAGAAAACGGATCGTCCTTGTGCTGCCGTACGACGAAGAATCGCTGGCGATTTTGCAGGTGAGATAGGTACAGGTGGACATCTTAATTTCTGGTTATTTTTCTTTTCTTTATTTTTTCAAATTAAAAAACAAGAAATACATGAAACTAAAAAAAATAAGAAATACAAGCAACAACAGACATTAAGCTGGAAGAACATTAAATAACTCAGAAGTTCGCAGATTTTAAGTTCTTTTATAAACTACATACATATGGTTTTGTTGAAATTAATTTCACTGATGTTTTTTAACTTAAATGCTTTGATTTTTTTCTTCAACTCAATATCAATATTCAAGTCACTTCTATAATATACAGTCGGAAATAATTATGTTCAAGAATCTGTTATAAGGAGCCACAATCACAAATGTGTTTAAAATAAATTTGTTACAGCAGGGTCGTACTAATTTTATACAATTATTATTTGAAATTTCATTAAGATAAGGAAGAATATTGAAAATCCATTATAAGGAGCAACAATTCCAAATATGTTAAAGACAAAGATTCGTATTTAGCATTCAAAGCGATACTTTGTTACACCCGTGTCGTACTAATCTTTATACAAATGTAAAGAATTTCCTTCAGATCTCGATAGATCCATCTTTCTGTTATTTTCGATTTTATTTAGTTGTATTAGTACATGTTGTACGGTCATAGTAGTTTGCAAGTATTTTCCCCAACATTTAAACGAACAACTCTTTAATCTAAACAACAAGTAGAATAAACTATTTTTAGTTGATTCCATATAGCGATAGTGTCTAATTTCAAATATTTTTCTTTCAAATGAATTTTATGTTATATTACATGACGCGTTCACCGCGGATACAAAACCAGATTAGAAACCGAAAGATTAGAAATAGCAAAGCTATAATCCATTCTTCACAATATGGAATTTTGATAAATGCGTAGAGAAACTCCCAAGGTAATGCTCTTCAACGGATTTTATTTTGTTTGATGTGCAGCTGTAGGTTGAAACAAGTAAAAAACAAGTTAAAAAGCAATAAGTTCGGCCGGGCCGAACTTTGAATACCCTCTATTTGAACGAATTTGGAAAATTTCAAAAAAATAAAATCCGTTAAAAATTCTGTTAAAATCTTAAAAATACCGAATATAGCCGTTATATTGGGGTCTATACGACGTGGACCTACATAGGCATTGTTGTCAAAAGCCGTTACCATATTCAAATTCGAAACTTGAAATAAACGGTGAATAATGTAGCTAAAACCATCAAAATACCGTATATAGGGAGGTACCGTTACATCGGAGCTATACGAAGACCTGGACTTGCATAGACAATTATATGTCACAGCCTCTAGCATCCATTACGAACATCAAATGGGAAATTTGAAACAATTCCGGTGAATAATGTCGCTAAAATCATCAGAATACCAAATATCAGGAGGTACCACTATATGGGGGCTATACGAAGACTTGGACTTGCACAGACAATTTTCTGTCTGGAACTTCAAATACCAAATTTAAAACAATTCCGGTGAATAATGTCGCTAAAATCATCAAAGTACCGAATATCGGGGGTACAGTTATATGGGGGCTACATGAAGACGTGGACTTGCACATACAATTTTCTGTCATAGGCTGTAGCATCCGTTACGAACTTCAAACAATAAATATGAAACAATTCCGGTGAATAATGTCGCTAAAATCATCAAAATACCGAATATTGGGATGTACCTTTATCCTTCCTACTGGCAAAATAAACATGTCTGCAAAATTGTAGCCTTCTTTATAAATTCGTTCGAAAGATAGCATGATTACAACATACAGACACACAGACAGACGGATATTCCTAAATCGACATAGAATTTTACGCTGATCAAAAATATATACACTGGTGGCCAAAACTAAAGCAACTGTAATTACAAGGAGAATGAATGCCTTGTAACTTTTTTAAAAATTAAGAAAATGAGAAAGTTTTTCTTGTTTTAAATTAGGTACCTTATTCACTTTTTTAAAAACCTAAAACAAAAAACCAAAAAATAAATAAAATATAAAAAATAATGTATGGTAAAGTCAATTACCCCGATTTTGGCTTGGACAAAACTAAAGCAACTCTGTTGTACATTAATATAACTGCTGCAATTTCAGTTGTTTTTACTCTTTTAGCTTCCTTCGACAATATCGCTTGTCATAAATCCTTTTTTGAGAAGTTTTTTACAACAGCATGTGTTTTTCTTTTCGATTTTTAAGTACTGGTCAAAAAAGTTTAAAAATGGCTAGAAGCTAACACAGTACATGAATAAAACAGCATATTATCAGTAACTATGAAAACAACATATCACAGAAAATGATTTCCGAGAAATATTTCATAATTATTTCTGTATACTAAGTCGGTTTTTTGAAACTGGATCAGTAGTAACAGTCTATAACGTATGAAGGCCGTGAAAAACTTCAACCCGTACTGATCCACAAATTTTGAAAGAAATAAAAAAAACCATTTAAGAGTTCAACTGGATTGTAGAGAGAGCAATCATTTGATATAAGCTCGAGATCAGTGCGTAGGCGAGTAGTGGCAGCTGGCCTGCATACCCGTAAGACATCAAAAATCCATTTATATCTGAAAAAATCAAAAAGGCTTTCGGAAACGATAATATTAAGTGGAATCAAGCTCAATGGAAAAAACATTATTTCTGGGATGAGTCTAAGTTTAATATTAAAAGCTCAGACGTGATAAATTTTACGGTGAGAAGACCAAAAAATGAAGGACTTAAGCCGCAGTTTTGCAAAGGTACAGTGAAGCATGAGGGAGGGTCAAAAATGGCGTGGCGCTGTTTTTCTTTCTATGGACTTGGGCCTATCCATGAAATAAAGGAAGTTATGGATCGGTTTGTTTACAAAGATGTGTTGGACATCACGTTGTTCCCTTAAGCTGAGTAAAATTTTCGGCTCATTTGGGTGTTCCAGCATGACAATGATCCCAAACTTCATCAAAACATGTCAAATATTTGTTGCGGTAGTCAAAAATTGATGTTTTGTCATGGCCGGCACAATCACCTGACCTAAACTCCATAGAAAACCTATTGATTATCGTAGATAGGAAGATCAAGCGAGATTCTGAAACAAATAAGCATAACATTTTCTAAATAATTCGGAGTGATTGGAAAAGCATACCCAAGGATCAAATTGAGCGTGTTATAGATTCAATGCCTCGTAGGTGTGCAGCTGCTATCAGAAATAATGGATGCTATCGACTATTAGCCAAAATTTAATTATTTTAAAATAAAAAATCAAAAGTTGCTTTAGTTTTGACCAAGCAATAATTGGGTCATTTTAGTTTTCCACATATTATTTTTCGTTCAAAATTATTTTTGTATTTTTATTTTTAGTTTCTTAAAAGTGAATTAAACCCCTCATTTAAAACTGGAAAAATAATTACGATTTGTTTATTTTTTGTAAAAGTTACAGGACATTTATTGTCTTCGCGATTTTAGTTGCTTTAGTTTTGGCCACCAGTGTATGCATGGTTAGGTCTTACATGAGGATTTCGAGGAGTTACGAACGAAATGACAAAGTTAATATACTCTCCATAGTATGGTGAAGGGGATAAAAACATTAAGTTCGGCCAGGACGAACTTTTAATACCCTCCACATTTCAATGATTTTTTATAAAAGTGTGTGAATTCAAACGTATTCCACTTTAAATTACAGTAAGACTGTTTGGATAATGCTGTTACACTTTTCAAAAAACCATAAAGTGGGTGAGGCCGGGGACCCATATAGGCCGTTTTATACTTCAAGAATTGGCAAACAATTTCGTGGGTAAATGTGACTAGGATTATCAAAATACTGAATATCGTTGGTTATCGTAATATGTACGCTATAGGGAAATGTGGACTTAAATATTCAATGTTCAGCCACCGGAGCTAGAACCCATTATGAAATACAAATACCAATTTTTAGATGAATTCGTGGGAAAATGAAACAAAACTCATAAAAATACCAAATATCAGGAGCTACCGCTATATAGGGGTAATACAAAAACGTTGACCTATACATACATTGTATGACCTACAAATACCAATTTTTAGACAAATTCGTGGGAAAATATGGGAAAAATCATCAAAATACCGAATATCGGGAGGTACCGTTATATGAGGATTATACAAAAACGTGGACCTATATGTACTACATTTTGCCACCGGACATAGAATCTATTATGACCTACAAATACCAATTTTTAGACAAATCCGTGGAAAAATGTGGAAAAATCATCAAATTACCGAATATCGGGAGGTACCGTTATATGGCGGTTATACCAAAACGTGAACTCTTATTTCAAGTTTTATAATTATTCTAAAAATAAAAAATTGAGATTTAAAAGTTAAGGTATTAATCTGTAGTTTAGAGTCGGATGTTGTCATTATTATGTTCCATAGTTCGAAGAATCTTCTTAGTTCTGAAAACAATATTTTCCCGAAAACTACGTTCGCTGGAAGAACATCCCACATATTATTTCATTCTTCAAATAATTGCTATAGTCATGCACAAGAATTATATTTGTGTAATGTTTGTGGTATTCAAAAAAAATTAATTGAAAATACAGTTTCCTGTATATATTTCTCTACATCTCCGATATCTGATTATATACGTCAACGGAATTACCATTGATGTAAAAGTCTAAAGTATCCTTCTCATATATTTTTTATTTCGACGGGTAGATTGTGGTATTAGCAGTTATACCGATTTTATCAATTATATATGACATGATTTATCACCATCCAAAATAGTATGCTTCTGTCCTGATCCAACCCCATGTCAAATTACGCTACGCTTGATCAATAATTGTTAACTTTAGAAAGACTTTAAAGAAAAATATTTCTTGCCCTAAATATTTTGTGAATATCTCCAAAAACAAAAAGCTTTTATTCTGATCCCAACTCTAGCTCATGCAAAAAATCAATGCATTATTACCATCTGCTGATAAATTTCAAAATAACGCAAACAGATGGACGTATACACATTATATCGACTTTATTGCTATCGAATGCATATTATTAAGAATTCCAAATATAAAATAAGGCTTTTCAGTAATTCATAATATTTCAATAATAATTCGAGATTTCTATATGTTATTCGCAACATTTTAATTGTAATTCTAAAATTATATTTGGTATTTATAGTATTCCATTTAAATATTGAATTATTTCATTTGTAATTCGATTTTTTTACTTTTAATTCGAATCATTTCTTTAGTAATATTTGGAGAATTTTATTTTTAATTCGGAAAATTTTAGTTTAAATTCGAAAACTTTAATTTAAATTCCTTTTGTAACTCGAATAGTTTCAATTCCAATTTAAGAATTTTATTTGCTATTCTTTAAATTCGATTTACAATACAATATTTTTTAATTTGATTTTTTATTCTCCACCATAGTACGGAGGGTGTATTAAGTTTATCATTCCGTTTGTAACATCTCGAAATATACATTTTAGACCCCACATAGTATATATATTCTTGATCAGAATAAAATTCTATGTCGATTTAGCGATGTCCGCCCGTATATCCGTCTGTGTAAATCACTCTAGCTTCCGAACGAAATGAAGTAGGTTGATAAAATTTTACTGAAGTGTATATTATGTCTGCAGGTATTAGTATTGAAAGTGGTCCATGTAGGTCCACGTTTGGTATAGCCCCCATATAATGGAACCTGCCTATTTTCGGTGATTTAAGTGACATTATTCACCGAAATTGTTTTACATTCAGTATTTGCAGTTCGTAATGGATACAACAGCCTATGACAGAAAATTGCCGATGCTTGGTACTTTGATGATTTTAGCGACATTGTTCACCGGAATTGTTTCAAATTTGGTATTTGAAGTTCGTAGTGGATATTACAGCCTATGACAGAAAATTGTCTGCGCAGGTCCACGGTTTGGTATAGTCCCCATATAACGGCACCTACCTGTATTCGGTATTTTGATGATTTTAGCTATATAACTCACCGATTTTTTTTCAAGTTTCGCATTTAAATATTGTAATGGTTTATGTTAAAATATGTCTGTGCAGATCCACGTCTTCGTATCGAACCTAATATAACGGAAACATACGGTAATTTTAAGATTTTAACAGAATTTTTAAAAACCGTTATTTATTTTTTATTTATTTATTTATTTATTTATTTATTTTTTTTTTGAAATTGCCAGATTCGTTCCAAATAGCGGGGGGTATTCCAAGTTTGGCCCGCCCGAACTTACAGCTTTTTACTTGGTTTTATTGTTTATTCGAAATAATTAATTTGAAATCGGAAACACAAAAATATTGCAAATATTTTTTGCATTTGCATTGCAAATAAACTGATTGGAATTAAAAATAAAATTATTTAATAGAATAATTCGATTAAAAAATAGAAAAAATTGTATTAAAAATAAATTATTTCGAATTTCAAATGGAATTTTACGAATTACAAATAAGATTCTTAAATTACAATATAAATGTTTCAAATAATAAATGGAATTTTCGAAATTCAATTGAAATTTCACGAAAAAAATAACGTATTATACCCTACACCATTTGGCATATTTAGTAGAGCTTCACATAACAAATAACAGATTTAGTGGGTAATTTGTGAGGATTAAATCATTCCAATTATGAACTAATATATAAAAGGAATATCCTGCTCTCAATCCATTTATACTAAATTTGCCGAGGCATTTGTCTTTTTCAATTCGGGCTTATATTACCCATTTGGTGCACAATTAACTTGAAATCGGATAAAGATATATATGGGAGCTATGTCCAAATCAGAACCGATATCGATAAAATTTGGAAGGTATTTCTGAGTTTTTTTTTTTTTTTTTTTTGATATGTTTCCTTGAATATCGTTGTTACGGCTGTGGAGGACAAAAATAACAAATCGGATGAACAAAATATATGGGAGCTATATATATATCTGAACCGATTTCGATCATATTTGGAATCCTTACTTCCCGGCTTAATTTGGTCGTGTGTACAAAAATCCAAAAAAATCTAGATCGGGCAATAAATGCGACGTGTATTTTGTTTACAAAACTACATGGATAGACGCACAGACACACATCCATCAATCGACTCAGAATGTGATTCTATGCAGATCAGCAAAAGGAACTATATCGTTTCCTTGCAAATGCACAAAGACATAATACCCTGACCACTTTGTGGTGGAGGATATGGAAATTGAAATCGATTTTGATTTTATGCTGACCATAAATATATATACTTATGGGGCCTACGACAAATATTTAGAGATACTACAAACGGAATGGCAAATTAAGTATACCTTCTCTCTTTCCGAAACCTAGGTATTCCCTGTCTTACCCCTGGTAAACATTATCATCGTTCTCCACTAATAAACAAACGTTGTTTTTATAAAAACAACAATAAAGAGATTAAGACTGACCATTTTGCATCAAAAAAAAACCTTCCTTGCTATATATCGGAGGGTATAAAAATACATAGTATGGCATAGGGTATTAGCTTTATTATACGCTACGTCATACTGTAGCTTGAGCTTTTTCAGATTTGATTATTTAGGCTGTTACTATAACTCAAATGTAGGGATATTTAAGTCAACTGACTAAGTTATAATTTAAATTGTTCCATGTTGGTAGATATAAATGGTTCAACATTTTTTTGTTAAATTTAGGAGTATAGTTGTTAAAAGTGTTCTTGTAAATTATATCACGGTTCCGTAAATATATTTCGTAATTTCTTTGACACGTTGTTGTTCATACATTTAGAAATTGTTCCTTATTACTGAACATTTATATAGATATTAGGACTCCGATTTTAAAAGTCATTTAATACCTCGATTAAAATAGAGTAGTCCGTAAAGTAGACAATTATTGCAAACTTCAATATCAAACAAAATCTAAGTAGTTACCCGTATATAACACATATGACAACCATATATAACACTTTATTTAGTATGTCAATTCATTATGGATTGATAGTTTACACCAAAAACCACCTCAACACCTTTCTTCCCATACTAGTCCAAGCAAAACCCAAATACAAAACAAATTTAAGTACCCACCTATATTTATACTTACAAGTACTACCCTCCAATCTTTTCAATTATTTAAATCGTTGCAAATTTTTGTAACAACAATTTATATTTTATTTCTTCTCAAATTTTGCTATTTTCTGACAAATTATTACAAAAAACCAAAACAATAACAATTGCCTACAGTTTAAATTATTTATTATATACACTTAAACACACACACACATTTATACACGTTATTATGAACTTTTTTGTAAACTGCTTTTGCTTTGAAAAAAAAAAAAAAAAAAAACAATAACTTTTTCTCTGTTCGTTCTGTACCTGCCCCTCCTTATCTCAAACCAAAAATATATATTTACATACAAACATATTATTGCAAAATGTAATTCCTTCTCTGTAAAACCTCTTTCATTCATTTATGAATTTTGTTAATTGCACATAATGGCTTTCGTTTGTTCTCCGAATGTTGGTAATGCGATGCGAAAATATTTAAATTTGATTCTTCTTTCTTCCTCTCTGTCTTTTCTCCTCCTGCCGCATGAATCGAACAGGAGCATATGCACCAGATTGTGATGTCCAGGGTTTCTACAAGCCAACCCAATGCCATAACTCGGTTGGTGTCTGCTGGTGTGTGGATAAGCATGGTGTCGAATTTGCCAATACCCGTACACGAGGCAAACCAAATTGTGGTAAGTAGATAGACGAGCATGAAGTGAAAACAAATCCTCGAGGGATTTTTAAACTCGATTTGAAAATGCGAAATCAGATGAGTTTCTTTAATGGGAATTTTAAAGATATCATAATATTTATTGCATTACACTCTAATAAATTTTTGAATTTTCTTTGCTCTACTGAATGCATAATTAATCCTTACATATTGTAAGATTCCGAACACATGTCTGGCATTTTAAATTAACAAGAGTTTGAAACTCAAACACTTTTACATATCTAAGTGCAATTAAGTGTTAGAATAAATACGAAGTTTACTCATTCAAATTACGCAAAATAGAATTTCTTATGAAATGGGCTTCATTAAAGTGACCGGCGAACAATATCTGGCATATGAACTAATTGAGATTATGGATTGTGGAATATTGATGTGAATATGTAGTATAAAGGAGGTATAAACGATCACTTGATTGTTGGTGATAACTATTAGAAATTATTTGGAGATTATCGCATGAATAATTTTCGAAGTTAAGGGGATAAGTTTTAAATCTGTCGGGTTTTGCCGTCAGCTGTTATTCTAATAACATATACAAATACCGTTTTAACTTTAAAAACCCATTCAAAACTATTATTATTATAGTTCCTAGGATGAAGATAGGGACACAAGAAAGTGTTTCCAATTAATTTGATTTAAAGCTAATATTTTCATTTTACTCCATGATTTATTCGCCTTCCTCAATTTTACTAGAACTCTTCCCTCTCTGGCGGCTTCAACTTTAGAACGACGAACGATAACTAACGATAGTAGTACCCGAATTGATCAAAACTTGGTGCATTTTAATATTATTCTCAAACTTAGATCGAGTTCGGAGATGGGCAATATCAGTCCACTCCTTCTGCTACCTCCCCCCACAAAAAATAAAATGTTTCACAGAAAACAATTTAGTGTGTAGAACAAGAAAGGATCATCCAAATTTGTGCAATCTTGTCGAATCTCAATATTTGTAACAATCCTATGTTAGGTGCGAAAATGAACAATAATTTCCCACTCCATCATGTCCTCACCCACAGCAGGTCAAATTTTTAAATAATTAAAAAAAGTCGAACCCCATAATTTTTAAATTTTATTGAATGAAAGCAAAAAAGCCGGAAATAGCATCAAATTTTAGGATTTGTTCGAATTGGTCACCTTTGTCACCAATTTTTGGCCTTCAAATGGCCAATGAAACCATCACACTCTCCAGAATATTTTCGCGATAATATTGGGCATTAATTCTGATGCTACGGTCGATTAATACGAGCGGAGAGGGATTATCGGCTGTTATTGCGGCCCACAACATCACCATGGTCGGAGCTTGAGTTCTGGTGGCCTATCGAAGGTACACATTTTCAGATGACCTCTTTGGCTAGTAAACACGATCATTTTGTTTGTTTACAAACTGCTGGACAACGAATGTTACAGAAAAGTTTCAATATGGGTCCACGTTTTTGTATAGACCCCATATAACTCTACTGAAAGATTTAAGGTTTTTGAATTCTAACTCAAATTTGTTGTAAATTTGCAGCAAGGACTCCTATTACGTTAGAAACATTCTTGCCGCCATATAAAGTTACCTCCCGATATTTAGTGTTGATGATGATTTTTGCCACATTTTTTCACGGCTTTGTCTAAAAATCGGTATTTGTAGTTCATAATGGGTTCTAGCTTCGTAGGCTAAACATTGTATGTATAGCTCAACGTTTTTGTATAGTCCCAATATAACTGTACCTCCAATATTCAGTATTTTGATAATTTGTGTAACATTTTTCACAGGAATTTTTTCAAACATGGTTTTCGTATATTCCGTATTTTGATTATTTTTGCTACAGTTTTCAGTTGAATATTTTGAATTTTAAATTTTGAAGTTTGCAATGGGTATTAATTCCTATGTCAGAAAATTACCTATGCACATCCACGACTTCGCATGGCCCCCATATAACGGTACCTCCCATTATTCGGTATATTGATGATTTATCTACATTTTTTAACAGGTGCCGCCTATGTTTGCAGATAATTAGTTATTGAGGTCCACGTTTTCTTATAGCCCCATATAACTGCAACAAATAATACTCGGAATTTTCATAATTTTAGCGGATTTTTTTTTAAATGTTTGTTTTCCATTTGACAAGTTCCTAGTGGAGTGTATTACAGGTTCATCGCGGCCGAACTCAGCTGCATTTTTACTTGTTTATTTTAAAAATATTAAATTCTTGTCACCTCGATCATCAAATTATATCTAAAATTAATAATAAAGCTTCGTATGGCTTTCTATTCATTTTATGTATTTATTGGTATTTTTATAGGGATTTAAGTTACCCATCTTGAATATCCAATTTTCTTAATTCTTCGTAATATTTAGTTTACATTACATTTTAAGTAGTGTCCAAATTTGACCTTAATAGTTTCAAATTAGGGATTGAATATTTATTGTCTGTCAAAATTTTAAAGAATTATGTAATTATTTTTAACCTTGCACTGAGTTCGGCTCAAGTGCCTACAATTTTTCCAGGTTATTTTTCTAACTTTCTAACTGCATCATTTTCTGAATTTACTTTCACCGCAATGAAGGCAATTAATCTATTTTAAAAATCATCTATATTTTTTCGTAAACTTGTATTAAACGTATATTTTTGTGTAATGTATACAAATCTGAATGCATATGTGAGAAATAATCATATCCTTTCTAACCCACATTATGTTATTCTCCCAAGGATTACGCTGACATTTACATATTCTATAAATATTTGCCTGAAAAATGTTATAAGAACGAACACGGGTACCATTTGATTAGTCGTAAGAGAAACGAAAGAGCACATATTATACATATACGTATCTAAATACTCTGGGAATACTCATGGGAATAATTATAACTCTATTAACATTTTGATCTAACGTTGCTTTAGTTTAATGAACTGTCAGTGTCTTATAAAGGATAAGGTGAAGCCGTTTAAGTTCATTCTGCTGCACACATTGGTTGTTGAAGTTAAAGTAATGATGTAATATGGAGCATGTCAGAAAGGAGAAGGAAGGATACAATGAAAGAGTAAACTGGGATTACTGCTGGTAACAGCCTCTTGACAAAAATTAAATAGATAATTGATACCAAAAACAAGTGAAAAATAAAAAATTAAGTATGTCCGGGCCGAACTTTTAATACGCTCCACAATTGGGTAAAGAAAATATTTTTATATACAAGTATCTGAATTCAAACGTGTTCCACGATAAACCACAAATACCAGTAAGACCGTTTGGATAATGCTGTAAAACTTTCCAAAAAAACATAAAGTGGGTGATGAAACAATTTAGTGGGTAAATGTGACTAGGATTATCAAAATACCGAATATCGGTGGGTGTCGTTATACGTGCGCTATAGGAAAACGTGGACCTAAATTTTCAAATTGTTCTGCCACCGGAGCTAGAGCCCATTATGAACTACAAATACCAATTTTAAGACAAATCTTTGAAAAGTGTGACAGTAATCATCAAAATATCGAATATCGGATGGTACCCTTATATGAGCGGTATACAAAAACGCGGACTTATACGTGCAATGTTTCGCTACCGGAGATGCGATACCGCTGGAAATGAAGCGAGGAACCTCATGTTGTAACCATTCTTGGGTGGCGCGTGCTGAGTGCTATAGTACTAAGTCCTATTGGAATGTCCAAGGCCTGCGGCCAAAATGTTTGCGTGCCCAAGGCTTTAATACTCCCTCCAGAATATTTTCGCGATAATATTCGGCATTTATTCTGGTGCCACGGTCGATTAATACGAGCGGAGAGCGACCATCGGCTGTTATGGCGGCCCACACCATCACCATGGCCGACGCTTGAGTTCTGGTGGCCAACTGAAGGTTTACATTTTCAGCTGACCTCTTTGGCAAGTAAACACGATCATTTTGTTTCTTTACAAACTGCTGGAAAATGAATGTTTTCTCATCGGAGAAAACCAAATTCGGCAGTTCACCACTTTCGGCCAAACGAAGCAACTCTTTAGCTCTTTTGAGTCTATTTCCTTTCTGTTGCGGTGTAAGTTCTTGCACTTTTTGTAATTTCAATGGCTTTACCCGAGCTAATTTTTTAATATATGCCGAATGGAATATTGCAGGTTTCGATCAAGTCGCTTCTTTACTTTTCGAACCATTTCTGCTGATGTTGTTGTTTTCTTCCATGCACTTCCTTGACGTCGGGCTACGTTACCAGTATCACAAATAACGTGCGATGGTACGAGACAAAAAAAATTATTCACATTTAAATGCTGGAGAGCTCTAACGATAGCCACTTGTGGTTTTCCCGCCAATTATAAAGAAATTACACTATCACTCTTGAATTCCATCACGAATAACTTTTTGCTGGAAAATTCTCACCAAAATCCTTTGTACGCTTGTAAACAATATAATGTCACTGGAATAATTTTAACAGCTGTCATAGAAATGACAGCAGTCTGAAGTTGGCTGCAGTTTTTTGATATAACCCTGTATACTTAATAGGGTCTACGACGACGAATATTTATGGATGTTACAAACGGTGGAGGGTATAATAATTCAAGGTGGAGGGTATAATAATTTTCAAATTTCCATGTTTTGTAACCTTGTTATCTATGGTTAACATCGACATTCTTTGGTTTCTAATTGACAAACATTTTGTGTGCGTGTGTGTGCAGGTCAATTATTTATCATCAATTATTTAACCTATTTAGCAATTCTCTGTCAATGTCTAAAAATTGACTTGATTTATAGTTCACAAATCGCTACTTTATTTCCCGTAACCAGTAACTTATATGTAATTAATTGTATGTGTTAGAACATGCTTCTAATACATTGATACTTACACATGTATGGCCTATACGATTTTGGAGAATTGTCTGTCCAACATAAACACCACAACCAATTAAAGCTCCAACCATAACAAATTAAATGTGCATCAAATACAGATGTTTCTACGTTGCCCAAAAACCATTTATATAAGTACACTGACACAC